AGATCCTATCCTTTCACTTACCTTCTTAAACATGTTGAAAACTTCATATTGCCTGGAAAAGAAGCCCAGCGTTCTTATCATGCCAGGACCTTCATTGTCGTCCCAGGCAATTTTCACTCCTCACGTCCTTGGTGCTGCTGTGCCTTTGCAGGACCACATCATACTATTTACTTCATGTGTCTAACCATCCTGCCTTCCTGCCTCTACTTTTGCTCATGCTTTATCCTCTATTAGAACAGTGTTCACGCTTTCACCTCAGTAGGATTCATTCTTCCTCGCCAGTATTTCTAAGACACTTTATACATACTCTCTAAGGCCCTATTGCATTATGGCTATATTATAAGTATGTGTTTAACTTCTTTCATAAACACCTAGTATCTTAAAGACAAGTACAAGGTATTATTTTGAAGTTTTGTCCCTGAATAGGTTTGTTTGCTTGTTTGGTGGAGTTTGCTTTTGTTTGCTTCTTCTTCTTCTTCTTCTTCTTCTTCTTCTTCTTCTTCTTCTTCTTCTTCTTCTTCTTCTTTTACAACTAGAAAAATTAATCAGCACATAAATAGCACTAAATAAATAGTCCTTAAGTAAATGGGAGCATAGACATTGGAACATTTCAGAATTGAAAAAGCAATAAAAGATGTTTGAAAAGTCTATGAACACATTTCTACTATTATAATTTGAACACCAATATACACATTTAAACCTGGTCATTATCTTAAACATTCCCAGAAAGAAATAAACAGTTCATTCTATTGGATACTTGCCTTCATTTGAATACAATTCTTACTCTGTAACAATATTTTACAGGAAAAAAATAGTTATTTTATCAACCTCAATATTAGAAGAGTTATTAAATAACAACTCTCTCACAGACAGAAAAATGGTTTGTTCCACCAGTCAGTTATATTGTTATTGTAGAAACATTAATTAAACCTCTATACTTCATTTTCCTTACCTATGGAATGGGAGAAAATAACTGTACATAAATCAGTGGCCTGGTACATTAAAGCAGTTAATATTCCTGGAGAAGTATAAACTCAGAAAACACACGTATTGTTGTTATTCTAATTGGAGCAGCCAACTTTGTAGGTTCTCATAAGTTTTTGAGCGAACTGAATGTTACTTTCATGTTATTAATAAAACTATGTGTGTATGAACTCTTCCAGGTCTTTATAATCTAAAGTAAGTTAAACTAGGAGTTTATAGTTTAACCTGAACAGGAACAATATAATTGGACATTAAGATAAACAGACAACTGAATATAAGTTAACATTATATATTTTTTAATGTATATAAGCAGAAGAGTAAAATGTATCATGTAGCTAGTTCAAAAAAATGGCAAATATTCATGCTGAGTAAATCCTGGGAAATTTTTCTCTGTGAATTATTATCAAAGAGGCTACATATAGTCAATGGGAATACAGGCTCTACCTATAGAGTAATCCCAGCTCTTATTCGATGAAGACATTCAAAACACAGAATACAATCTATGTGTTAAGAGTAGGAGAAACCTGAGTGACATTGCCTATGTTCAGTAACCCAGACGTGGCCCCTAGAACCATGAGGACTCACTATGGGAACTTTAGATGTAAAGGAATATGAACAAATCTGATTACAGGATGTGTTTGACTTAATAATGGTACATTATTTATTGAAATTCTAATTGTAAGTGGCAAGAAAAATAAGACAAAAAGGTAAAGAAACCCAATTGCAACTGGCTGCATTTGTTTTCCTATTTTTTTTGTTTTCTATAAATACACTATCAGATTAATTTTTCTAAATTTAATACTGAAAAGATTTCTTATAAACTGTAATAGAATTTATGTGACACATTTTTCCTTAATACTAAATATCATTTTATTGAACTTAATTTGAATGCTACAATGTGATGCTTAGAGTAGTTGAATTATTAGGTAATTTATTTTCTTATTATAAGCTGGTCCTTTTTTCCTACACAATTATGTTTTATTATGGAAACACACAGAACTGTTTTCAGTTTCTCTTTTTTAATATTCTGCTCAAAATGTAACTTGAAGATTATCTCTTGAAGAGGCTAGTGTGCCAAAATTATCAGACAAATCAAAATGGAAAGTTATTTTTGCATATAACGTGGGAAATATCAGCACTTTTAAATGAATTCTCATAATGCTAAATAATTTAGAAAAAGAATCAACCAATTAAGAAAATATTAAGCCCTTTTATGGAATACATAGTGCAAATTTTATGATGGGATAGTGGTGGTAAAATTGGAAGGAAGGTAGAAATTAATCTACCATGGTTTCAAGATGTCTAAATGGCTTTGGAGTAAGCATTTCACCACTGACCATTGACCCCTCACTCCCACCCGAGATGTTTCTAGGGAAGACAGCTAAAGACTGTGAGGTCCACTGATATTGAAAGCATATATCAAGGATTTTCATGACAGTTCTGATGGTGCTGATAAACACACCATTAGGCCTCAGGACCTGAGATCCAATATTGTGTTAGGAAATAGGGTCATATGGCATAACTCCTACAGGCTGAACGGAGTGTAAATGACGAGGGGAGATGGGAGTTAAAAAGCCTAGAGCAGGAGGTCCAAGAGCTGCACTAAGACCTCAAAAAAAAAAAAAAAAATAGGGAACCATCAGAAGTAGGAGTAAGATCTTTTATTTGAGACACTCCAAGAAGTAAGTTAGGAATGTTAGAAAAAGAGAGATGCTGAGAAAATTGTACAGTAGAAATGTCAGAGCTGATGCCAATGAGAGGAATTCATAAATGCGACAGCAGTGAAAGGATTAGCAAAGGGCTGAGGAACAACCAGATTGATTACCCACCACCCACCTGACTTCCGGGACCAGCAACATCAGCATCACCTGGGTTCCTGTTAGAAATGTAAATCTGGGCTCCTGCCCCAGATTTACCAAATCTAAACTCCAGAGACTTGGACCAAGTCATCTGTGTTTTACCAAGCCCCCCTGGTGATTCTGAAGCCAACTAAATTCCAGAACAAATGGTTTAGAATTGCAAAGGAAATTTTGGCCTCCATTCTTCATCTGGAATTGTCTTACCTTTTAAAAACAGGTAAGTGTTGATATAAATTATAATGTAGATATACAACTCCTTTACAATTACACCCTGCAGAAATACTCATTTTCCAAGTGGTAGGTTTCAAATTTCTTCTGCCCCTCAATTTGCTTAGGAGAAGCCATCAGAACCTGCCTTAAATAAATATGAGAAAATAAAAATTAAATGCAATGCTGATAAACCAAATACAAGCAGAATATTAAATATGCTGCACGCCAATGTTTTATAATACACACACACTTCAAAGGAAGCATTTGATATAAAACTATCAAGTATTTTAAATTATTGTTCTATTAGTTCAACAAATAAAACATAACTATTTAAAGTAAAAAATTATTTAAGGGATATAGAAGTAAAATTATTATTAATTACAAGTAAGAATCAAGTTTCAGATTTTCATGTTCTTTCTGTCTCTTCCTAAGATCTAGGCAACTGATAAAGTATTATTCAAGAAGAGAGAAGGGTAGATGCAAAAAAAAAATCTTATAAAAATAATTATTCTTATTTTATTACATTCTTATTGCTCTTATTTAACTTGCAATTAAACAATATCATGTACTGAATCAAATTGTAATGTAAATATCTGTGTTTTCCGAAGGTCTTAGGTGACTCACAGATTGAGAACCACTAGCAGGGTCACCTAAGACCTTCAGAAAACACAGATATTTACATTATGACTCATTAACAGTAGCAAAATTACAGTTGTGAAGTAGCAACAAAAATAATTTTATGGCTGGGCATCACCACAACATGAGGAACCTTATTAAAGGGTCGTGGCATTAGGAAGTTTGAGAACCACTGGGTTAGAGGGTCTTCTTTCAAAAGTAAGGTTACATGGTCATTATAATTGTGATTTGTAGAAAAGAATAACTTCCACTTCAGGGTGTGTGCCATGCTAAGCTCTCCTACTGTCACAGTCTCCTTAGTAGGTGGGTTATTTGATCAGAAGTGTTATTGTAATAATGAGCAGTGTTGTTCGGTTATTTAACTGTATCTAATTTTATTTTATTTTAAACTAAATTAACTACTTCTAACCACAAAGACTACTAAACACTCTGATGTTTTACTCATTTCATAAAATAATCATCGAATGTTAGAGCGATACTAAAAATATTTTATTTTTGTTTACTTTTCTTTTTATAACCTTTATATTGTGACATACTATGCATTAAATTTTCTTTTAGTCCTCATAAACCCAAAAATAATGTCCTTAATATAACTTTGAATTAAGTGCAAGATTGTTTATGATTTTAAATACTGCCTTTAAAATAATATTTTCTTATGTAATGCACAAATAAATATTAATGACATGTGCTTTTAAACTTTTTCTGGCACGAACAGAAAATCATGGCTAGGATTAATACAGTGTTTTTTTTTTTAATGCAATTCTATAATGGTAGCGATTATATTGAATAATAGTTTAGTTTGCTCCTAAAAATTATTTTATTTGATCTGTATTCCAAACAATGTTTTGGAAGTTATTATTTGTTACTGTTCTCATTGGTTTTTAAATTAAATTTAATAAAAAGAGAAAATGAGTGATCTCAACTCATTTTTTTAATCTATAGAATGTTATAGAAAAACATACACCTATACTTTTTAAAAATATATATTTTATTGATTTTTTTACAGAGAGGAAGAGAGAGGGATAGAGAGTTAGAAATATCAATAAGAGAGAAACATTGATCAGCTGCCTCTGAACACATCCTAACGGGGATGTGCCCGCAACCAAGGTACATGCCCTGACCGGAATAGAACCTGGGACCCTTCAGTTGCAGGCCAACCCTGAACCAAACCAGTTAAAGCTACATCTATACTTTTTAATGATTTATTCTGAAAGAAAGAGAAAAATATTTAAAGCTTTCTCTGAACTGTTTTCCTTCTCCTTTGTAACAGATACCTATGTTTCAGCTGTATTAATGTTCTCAAACCAAGACATGGAGTTCTTAAACTCATCTGATCACAATCTGACCTCCGAAGAACTGTTAGACAGCATGCCCTCCAAGATCCTGGTGTCCCTCACACTGTCCGCGCTGGCGCTGATGACCACCACCATCAACTCCCTGGTCATTGCTGCCATCCTCGTGACGCGGAAGCTGCACCACCCAGCCAACTACCTGATCTGCTCCCTGGCCGTCACAGACTTCCTGGTCGCCGTCCTGGTGATGCCCTTCAGCATCGTGTACATCGTGAGGGAGAGCTGGGTCATGGGGCAGGTGGTCTGCGACATCTGGCTGAGCGTGGACATCACGTGCTGCACCTGCTCCATCCTGCATCTCTCTGCCATCGCGCTGGACAGGTACCGGGCCATCACAGATGCTGTGGAGTACGCCAGGAAGAGGACTCCCAGGAATGCCGGCATTATGATTGCAGTAGTTTGGATTATATCTGCTTTTATCTCCATGCCTCCCCTGTTCTGGAGGCACCAAGGAACTAGTAGAGACGATGAATGCATCATCAAGCACGACCACATTGTTTCCACTATCTACTCAACATTTGGGGCTTTCTACATCCCGTTGACATTGATTTTGATCCTCTACTACAAAATATATAAAGCAGCAAAGACGTTATACCACAAGAGGCAAGCCAGTAGGATTGCCAAGGAGGAGCTGAATGGTCAAGTTCTTTTGGAGAGTGGTGAGAAAAGCACCAGACTGGTCTCCACGGCCTACATGCTAGAAAAGTCTTTATCTGATCCATCAACGGACTTTGATAAGATTCAAAGCACTGTGAAAAGTCCCAGGTCTCAATTCAAGCATGAGAAATCTTGGAGAAGGCAAAAGATCTCAGGAACAAGAGAACGCAAAGCAGCCACTACCTTGGGATTAATTTTGGGTGCATTTGTCATATGTTGGCTTCCTTTTTTTGTAAAAGAATTGGTTGTTAATGTCTGTAAAAAGTGTAAAATTTCTGAAGAAATGTCAAATTTTTTGGCATGGCTTGGATATCTCAATTCGCTTATAAATCCACTGATTTATACAATCTTTAATGAAGATTTTAAGAAAGCATTCCAAAAACTTGTACGATGTCGATATTAGTTTTAAAAAAGGTTTATTATCCAAAGGTCGTCATTATTCTTTTTGAGAAGTAACTAAGTGAATGCTAAATGATAATGCACTTAAACTTTTAGAAGGAAATAAATTAAAACTGCTGAAATGATGACTAATTTATATTTTAATAGCAGCAGGAATATTAAATTTATTAATATAAAAATATTACTTTTGACCATCATTCTAGAGTACTCAAAATTAGAAAAGAATGCATTATTTATAAGCAGTATTTTGCTTCACCTATGCAATGTTACTAAAAAGCTAACTGGAAATATATACATACATGTATTATAAATAACAGTAGTTTTCCAGATTTATGTCTTACAAAAATTATAGAAAACTATTCAATTAACAACATATTTCCTTTCATAACGTCTATAGAATATTACTGTTTTATCATATAATTCAATTATTTTATTAAAAATATATAATTCACCACAAAGCATATCTTTCTCTTACCTACCCACTCTTGTTCCCTGTCCATCTTAGGCAATAGGACAGAGGGGAAGGAGTTATCAAGGACTCTTAGTATGACTGGAGGAAATGTAAAAGTCAGAGAGAATGTCTTTGTATTTAGATAGTAACCATAAAGTGAGTTAGGTACTGCAAAATAATTTTAGATACTGAACTTATGCATATTTTACATATTATTTTTGTTTCATATGAATTCCTAGAGTATTTTTAATTTAACTTAATTTAATGTTTTTTCATCACCATTTATTCCCTATACCTTCTTCCACTTCTATTCTCTGCCTGTCGCCCCACAATCACCACACTGTTGTCTATCTGCCAACTATCAGTTATCAACATTTGAAATCAAAGCCTTACTCTAAGTAGCAATAACTAAAGGGGAAAAGATGGGGAGGTCAGGGAGAGATGTTATACTAGGCTATTCATCATAGTTATTATATTCATAATATCTTTTTAAGAATATAAAATACATTTCCTTTCTGTTCATGTTAATAAGCTCAATTGCTAACTAAAATGTTCATGAGCCTTTATACTTCAACAGTTCCATACCTTATATTTAAACATTATTTCCTTTTTATTAGAGAGAATGTGATAGAAACTTCTAGAACTTTTCACTGACTTAAAAAAAAAAAAATCTAGTTTCCAATTGATAGACATGAATAAGCAGATACTCCTTATCATGATAAATATCTACACTAACAAAAGAGAGACATGCAAATTAACCATCATTTTGCTATGCCAAGCCATGCTCACCATCAGGAGTGAGTATGCAAATTAACCCAACCAATATGGCAGCCAGCCACGGAGCGGGAGCAAGCAGGAGGCTTGAGTTGCCCCGGCCATGAAGGAAGCCAAGCTTCCCACCTACCCTGGTCTGCCCTGGCCTCTGCTCAAGGCTACAAAGTTTCAATTATAGAAGATAAATAAATCCCAACAAAAATCTTGGTGGCCACAGAGCTGGAGAAAGCAGGAGGCTTGGTTTCCCCCAAGCTTCCCGCCTGCCCCAGCCAGCCCTGGCCCCCACTCAAGGCTACAAAGTTTCAATTATAGAAGATAAACAAGTCCTACTACTTACTTCCAGTCAGCCCTGGCCTCTACTCAACGAGGCACTGAAAAAAGAAAAAAAGAAGGGACTTGGACCTTGGGTTGCCAGAGAGTGATCAGGCCAAAATGGGATGGCAGGGGCCATTGGAAGTAAGCAGACCAGCAGAGGGGCCAGTTTGGGTGAGAAGGCCATCAGTGAGGGTCAGTTAGAGGTGATCAGGACAGTGGGGGGGGGCAGTTTGGAGTGAGCAGGCCAGCAGGAGGGCAGTTGGGGTTAGCAGGCCAGCAGGGGAGGCAGTTGGAGGCAAGCAGGCCAGCAGGTAGGGCAGTTGGGGTGATCAGGCTGGTGGGAGAGCGAGCATTTGGAGGTGAACAGGCTGGCATGCAGAGTGGTTAGAAGCAATCAGGCAGGCAGGCAAGCAGGTGAGTGGCTGGAGCCAACAGTCCCAAATTGTGAGAGGGATGTCTGACTGCCAATTTAGGTTCAATCCCTGTAAATGGGCAGTAGGACATTCTTCGAGGGATCCCAGATGGGAGAGGGTGCAAGCCAGGCTGAGGAACACCTCCTCCCTGTGCATGATTTCGTGTACCAGGTCAATAGTATGTGTGTATAGATGTGTATATAGATGTGTGTGTATATATATGTGTGTGTGTGTATTTATATATATATATATATATATATATATATATATATATGTGTGTGTGTGTGTGTGTGTGTGTGTGTATAATATATATGATATTACATATGTATATACCTCCCAATTAATTATTCTACTAGTTCAGTGAACCAAAGCAATTTCATAATTTTTTTATTGAAAGGCTTACCATCAACCAAGATTATTTGAAAAAGAATACATTTTTTTAAAGCTATAATATTATGTGTATTCTAAACATCCTTTCTTTGTGGATGCTTAAAGTACATTACATTTTTTATGTCTCTATAACATTATTCTCAATGTAACAAATATTTACAGAGTTCTTATTTTATATAATGTCTTTTTAAGAATTACTATATAGAAAATACAAGAAATACTATACTGTATACTATATAGAAGATATAATAAATATTAAAATACAGTTTATTCCTTAACATGTTTGCAATCTAAAAGTGAGTGGGGGGCAAGGGTAAATGCTATAATGGAAAAGAAAAAGAACAAAGATCTGGTATGGAAACTGCTTACATAATTTTAATGGTTCAAATTTTTTAAATATCACTTATGGTTCAGGAAAATTTTATAAAATATATCTAAAATATTATTAAATAAACAACATTTGAGTAAGAGAAATACTCCAAGTGTGGAAACATCAGTTCAGACTGTATCCTGCAGGTATTTGGTGGGACATGTTCAGTGAGTTTGGCAACTATTTAAAATAGGAGGAAAAGAAAAGATTAAAAGAGAAAATGGCTGTCATGTGGCTGACTCTGAATGTCGGAAAAAGAACTTTATTGTCAATTTGGTTAGTGTCTGTCAATGAGTGGTCACTTTTTAGTAGAAAAATTAGAAGTTTAGGATTCTAGCAAATAGGGTACTTTGAGATAATGACTTTTTTGTTAGAAAGTAAATCAATAATCCAGGCAATGAAGTCTTGAACTTGATTCTGACAATGAGAAGGAAAAGGTGAAAGCAAATGAGAGATAGTATGGCAGTGGAATCTATAGGACATAGCAAATCTATGTATATAAAAGCCTGAGTGACTGGAACCACCAATTACTATGATGTGCACTATCCACCATGGGGCAGACACTCAATGCAGGAGCTGCCCCCTATTGGTCAGTGCATTCCCATAGCCAACCTCCTCTGACCAGCCAACCTCCCCTGGTCCCTCCCCACAGCCCCAGGGCTGGGACAGGAACTGAGGGTGGTGGCAGCAGACACGGCCCCTTTCCCAGGAGGACTGAGGGCTGGTTCCTTCCTTGGGGTTGGGGACCAACCTCCCATGTCCCATTCCTCCCCCACAAGCCCTGATTGGCCTGCCACCTGCCCATTGCAGTGGTGGCATGGCAAGGGAAAGAGAAGGGGGAGAGGCAGCAAACCACACGGTGGCAGAGTGCCAGTGATGGCTGTGAAGGAGGCCAGCATCTGTTCCTTCCATGCCTGGCCTAGTGACTGTTGCCTCTTCTCTGGCTCAGCCCTAATCGCCCTGGCCCCGATTGGCCCTGATCACTGATCATGCCTAAGGGACCCTACCCATGCACGATTTTTGTGCACAGGGCCTCTAGTATGTTAATAAGCAGGCAGGCAGATGAAAAGACATGATTCAGATAACTTGTCCTCAACTGAAATGAGAAACTCAAGAGAAAGGACCATGCCTTCTGGTCAAATGACTTCTGTTTGGGGTATGTTAAACACATAAAGACATGTCAGAGCTCACAGGCACTATAAGCAATCTGTCCAAGAAAAACTAACAAATAGATGAGGTTTATCCAAAGCTCTTTTGTCCTCTTCTCCTCTCTTTATCTCTCAGGAACATATGCTGTGTTGACAACTCAAAGCCTGCTCTAGACCCTGTCACTCTGCTTATTTCTCTTTCCCCTTCTCACCAAAATTTGATTGTGATTTATTCATGAAAGGTGTTGCTAAAGTTAAAATAATCTGTTAAATTGATTTTTTTAACCCACATCAGAAATTTAAATATTTATATTGGAGAACTCTAAAAGACACAGCCCATCAACCTAAGGGAACAAATGTAAAGCAAGGTGTGTTCATCCAAATATACATACCACCCTTTACTCTGAGCTGAACTGTAGCACAAATCTAGGAAAATGTAGTGAAAAAGAAGTCAAAACACTCCTCAGAGCTCTGGGATTAATCAAGTTTATTATTTCTGTGTGCATAGACTTTTTTTTTAATTCAAAGTTACCATGGCACATTATAGTAATTACCACTTCATCCCTGTGTTTCCTGGAGGAGGTAAGGGTCATGCCACCACTCATGAACAAATATGAGAGATTTCTTTTTAATATATTTAAATAGTAGATAGTATAGGACCAAGTGCAATTTGTACTTTCTTTGAAGTTTACTAAAAACAGATTACACATAACATGATATTATTTCCTAAATACTTAGAATTTATGTAATGAAAGAAAATTTCAATGAAAAATTTCCAAGTTACTTAAAGTTAAGGATTTTTATAAAATATATTTTTCTCACAATGATAACAAATGTAATGATATAATAATGTATATAACTTAACTGATAAGGTAGAAGAAGAAAGTATAAATATAATAGAAAATGATTAAATATTAGATAATGAAAGTTAATTTCCTGCTACAATTTTAAATATAACATCACTAGAAAAATAAATGGAGATTTTATTTTTGCTTTGCTTCTTTTCAAATGAAGGGTGTATAAAAGGCAGGGGCAAAACACGAAAGATGGGAAATCAAACTACTGGATACTAAATTCCATCTAATATTTTATGATTAAGTAAAATTTGTAAATTCATTACTGCTTATGAAATATATTTATAAA